AAAAAACATGAAAATACAATGACAAGCAAGTCCTAATGTCAAGCTGGCTGCTTAGGAACTAGTACAGTACAGTTCAAATACAGATTATTTCAGTTCATCGAAAAGCTGCACCTTAATGTTTATTTTATTATATTTTGTATTTATTTGAGTGAATATTCACAGTTTAATAATAATTAAAAACCCAAAACTAATAGTTTATGTTTTGTGAGTACTAGTAGCCTACAGTAAAGTTCAAATACAGATTATTTCAGTTCATCGAAATGCTGCACCTTAATGTTTATTTTATTATATTTTGTATTTATTTGAGTGAATACATTATTCACAGTTTAATAATAATAAAAAAAAAATATATATATATGTTTTGTTTTGTGAAAAAAAATTCTGCTGTACCGAAAACGTACCGAACCGAACCGTGACCAAAAAACCGAGGTACGTACCGAACCGAAATGTTTGTGAACCGTTACACCCCTAATATATATATATTTAAATATGCTATATATATGCTCTGAACGTTCCACTTCCTGCCTGCCCGGCATTACCTTACGGCTGCGTCGCGTCGAAAAAAAGACTTCAATCCTATTTCGAGCGGAGCCCAGCGGCGAGACGCTTCTGGGACACTTCTGAGCCGTAACGCGGCGTGTCTGGTGGAATAGCACCCATTGACTAGAGTGGCCGCAATCCGCGGCCGTAACGCAACGGACCCGGTGGAATATAGGGGTAACTGTGGTGCGGAGGGGGGGGGGGGGCTGCGAGTGGAGCCTCGCAGTTTTTCAGGTTGATATGTGAAGCTCATGAGCTAGCCAACATGTATCTAGCAAATGTTTAGCAAAATATTAGAAGTGAGGCTACTAGACTAAAGTTAGGTCTACTGTAATAGCCTCACTTTTAATAGTTTGCAAAAGATTAGCTAGCACTAGTGTTTTGCAGTTGCTAGCAGCTTATTGGGATGTTATGCTAGATAGACAGATATAATAAATTAAGCATTATTGTTAGTAAAGCATGTCAGCCTGCAGCCCCACTTCTTGTCTCTCTAACTCATTGCAGATTGCTGCACTAAAGAATAGGGCACAGAGAGGAAACCAGTTGTAAGATGTTTAAAAGTTCATTAAACATAATATATGCTTAAATGCATTTCAAATAAGTTGTGTTGAGTTGTGTTGGAGTTTGTGTTATTCTACATTTTGACACCAAGATTTTCTGATGTTACTGCATATGTATATCGGTTCCAAATATCGGTTATCGGTCTCCTTGATTACTAATAATCGGTATCGGTCTTGAAAAAGCCATATCGGTCGATCCCTAGACAAAACGTATATTATTTTTCTTTCTCAGTGGGGAAATTAGTTTGAAGCTGAATCTTAAGCATTTCATGGCAAACACAATTACAGAAGTCATCACTAGACATATTTCTTTGCATATTTTACATGGATTCTGAAGGGCAAGGAATTAGAGTGGCATTAACACTGCAGTATATATATCCACTATTTGTGTCAGTCAAGTTACACACCCTTCTTTTTAGAGAGTTTTGATTCCACGTTGCCTGCAACAGTCTGGACTGAGCCTCATTGTTCTGCAGATTCCGTTTTAATTATAGATGCCTGAGCCCTTGGCACGAGGGAGCTCACTCTCTGCTAGTGTTGTTCTCCATCTCCTCCATTATTGCTCATTCAGTTCAGCTCAGGTCGGCAAGCTCACTGACGCAGTACAATAAAAAAGGAAGAAGCACATTGTATGTACATATTGTAAAAAGGTACAAGATGCTCCTATTTGCTAATGATGTATGAACATAAAGCAGACCAAAAATCTAATTGGTACATCATTCAGGAAACCTGTAAATCCGGACATACTTGCTCTAAATATTTCAAAACTCTTTATTCATTACAGATTGATCAAAAACTGAAATATGCCTTCAAACCAAAAGCTTTCAGAAGAGGAAAACTGGGTCACCAGGCGGTGGATGCCCCGTGGGGATGTGTATGAATGGGATCAGTGCAGAAAAAGAAGTGGGACTAAAGAGATTTGAGACCGGGGTAGCTGAATCTCCTACATGACAACCGAGTTAGGGGGTTGGAAACCAGGTTGTGTTTAAATGCAGCGGGTGGACCACAGCACAAAAGCTGGTCCATAAAGTCTGCTACAATTCCAGTCAATCTGCCTCATCAATCTAAGCTATAAGAAAGTATTGCTACACTTACTGATATAAGGATTTATTTGACCGTGTTGATTCTCAAAAATACATTATTCATCTCTGATCATTATGTTACATAAGAAGATTCCTGCCAGCTGCTCAAATTGTGCCAAAAGTAGAGTGATGATTTTGGATGTTACAGGGACTAAATGCAAAGCAGATCCCACTGTTTGCATAACAAATATATTGAATTAACTCATAACATAAAGAATGAAATGTATTTGTGACTCCCCACTAGGTGAAGGTACTATTCATTTTAGACGCTCGGGTATGAAGACATGCGCCTGTGCGATAGAGTGGTGCAGGAATGAGTCCTAAACCAGGAAATGAGTTAGCATGTCATCACTCCCGACCCAAGTCCAACTTTATCCTAGCGGCAATGACGTGAAATGCTCTGAGGAGTTTATAGCATTCCGTTGGCTATTTACTTCTGGCAATTGCATTAACGCTTTTAAAATAATGGTGGTGTTAATATGTGGATATTATTCTGCTCAATAAAACATCTACAAAATCAGTGTAAATGTAAGCTAGCAAGCCAGCATGTAGGATAGTGATGAGTTGCTAGATTATAGGCCTCTAGATTCCCTTCAATTATTGGTTATTTACTTTTAATATACATTTTTAAGTAGAACATGTTTTTTTCTGACATTATTATAGTGTTCTGAATTAACTTCTCAGAATTCTTGTTTTACTGACCCACTACCATGAGTATAAATTAAAAAATGCACCCGTGCAGATAAAACATCAAAGTTCAACATGCCACATTATCAAGGATAAAACATATCAAAACGATGTCCTGGCGGCCATACTACAGCCATCACACTGACAATGCTAACATGCTGATGCTTAGCAGATATGGTGCTAAAATAAGAGGTTCACCATCTTAATACATCTCAGAAGACCAATCATTTTACAGGTATAGAGTGGTGGAGGAAGGAGTCCTGAAACCCTGAACCCGATTCCCTTGTCTCGAAGACAGCGTTTCTTTGAATGGGTTTTTGTTTAAATTCCTGAAATAAGGTCTGCGATTTATACAAGCTTGTATATATAGCTCGTTATACGAGATATACTTAAGTAAACACCCAATCTGAAGCTTTAAAAAAAAGGTACATAAATCAGCGCTCGCTAACAAGTGGCTAATTGTCTAAAAGTCATCATGCAGCTAACCGGTCTGTCTTTTGCTTAGCGACAGTGACGTGAAGTCATGGGACCGTCATGTGGTGTTTATAGCCTGACGTTAGCTTTTTACTTTGGTGATCCATTTACGCTTCAAAAATCAAACAATTGGTTTAATATTTGGAGATTATCCTGCTGACCAAAACATGTTAGTATCATAAACAAGTTTTTCAACAGATCTTATATTCTGCAATATTCAGAAATCCAATGAAAATGATGCAATGATGACGTTCCGGTCGGCCAACAAAAATGTGTCACCACTAAACCACTCTATTTAGCCACAAACCAAAGTATTCAACTCATTACAATGGGGTGTTCAGAATTCTAGTTGTTAAGATATACGAGTCTGAATCACTTGTGATTATAGAAAAGGTTAAAAAAAACAACTTCAACTGACAGCTCCAGATTTATTTTTCAGTCATCAAAGAACTGCAGTGATCAATTTTGACTCATGATAACAAAAGAGTCGTGACCCGAGATTCCAGCAGCATGCACACAATGATACTGCTGTCGCATGGCGGGGTCTGCCCCTGAGGAACCTTCCAAAGACAATAGCTGCTCTCATTCTGGACTGAAAGCAGACCAACACGCGATGACAGTCTCAGAATCAGCTTATGTCACCATCATCTGTTGAGTCAATACTGTTAACACAATAATAAGACTTATTTGGTTTGAATCAATTTAAATATATTGTAATTTGCCAGAGCAGATGTGGTCGACTTTTTCCAAGCAACAATGTAAAAGTACTCCTGTTTAACAATCAAATGAAGGTTTACACTAATTAACTGCCACAGGGCCTAAGCATCTTTTTTAGATGTGTTTTTAAGATGATTTATTTGTATAACTCAGTGCGCAGGTTGGGTTTAGAAAGAGCGATTGAGAAAGAGAGAGGGAGCAAAAGCTTGTTGTGTGCCAAAACAGGCTTCACCTAAATGTTCTACAGTGACATCACCAGTGCTTCTCAGTTCAGATGTTCAACTAAAAGACCTCGAAGTCCACACACATTTATCATAAAATTGATAACTGTTACATTCCGAGTTTAACTCAAACCTCATGTTACACATACAAAAAGAGTTCCAGGTCAATTTGACCAGCAAGTAAATCTAAAACAGCATGCAAACCAACATCATTTGCATAATTCCCCATCATATAAGCCAAGATAATTAAATATATTTGGATGTTTGACTGTTGGTCAAACAAAACCGTTTACATTACTGTATGGCATTATAATCAAATTGTGTTTTTAAAATGTAGTTTAATTCGACAATTTAGTGATAGACCTGGGACTCCATAGAAGACTATTTCCTTTGCCCTGCACAGCATATCTTGGCCAGCTGAGATTGTCAATTGTATAGGAGATGCGTAGCAAGCCACAGCCAGGTCTCTCCTCTGATCACGACACAACACTAGAGGTAGAGGGATAACATGTGGGCTACAAGCAACAAAGACTGCAGTAATGAGTCAGTGTGAATCCCCCACAAAGTGACAGCCTGCTTCACCGGGAGGCTTCAAGTCACAGCAGCATCTTAATCTCATCATGAGCTTCCCGCCGCACACGCTCATTCAGCCCAAATCCCCACGACTACGCGTAAACATGTCGGACTGCGTTTGAGAGGACAACACGACGTCAGGTTACCGTTTGAACATCATCTCCATGTCCTTGATCTGCTTGCGGGAGAACTCCTTGAATTCCGTGTAGGGGTTGAAGACGCGGGTCAGCCGTGGAGCAGCGTTGCCCTCGTTGATGTCCTGCCTGCGGGTCAGTATCGCGGACAGCTCGGAGGACGAGTCTCCGCAGGCTCCATCGGCCTCCTGCGGCTTGGGTCGGACTGGGCTGTGTTCTGGCTCCGGCCTCGGCTCGGTCTCCTGCGTAGCCGCCAGCCGCGACTGCAGCTTCTTTGCCAGCTCGTTAGATGCCATGCTGAGAGAAGCACGCTGTTCACTGAGGCTTTCAGGGAGAATGGAGCCTGACAGCCGTCTCAAGTACCACTGTCAAACTGCCCGTGGCCCGCGGAGAAGAGAGAGACAGTCTTTCCGGTCAAAAAATTTCAAAATAAGATGAGGAAAAAAAGCGTCAGTCACTGACGCTATACTATGCGAGTGCCCTAGGGGGCGCCAGAGCGCCGTGATGCGCCTGTTTGATCGATGCCAGAAGCGCAGGTAACGGTCATCACAATGGCCAAGCGACCAGGTTCTGAGGGACTTCATATTTAAAAATACTAGAAATAACATTTCAGGTAAGTCAAGAGTCAGTAATCTTAGTCATTACTCACTACTTTAGTCACCAAAGGTGGAATCTATGGACATAAGCAGCAATAACAACTTAGCTTGGAGTTACACGTTTTTCTCTCGTGTTAGCTAGCTGGTAAGACTCAAAACTGTTGATGAAATTATACCACTAGCACCAGAAGAGCTGAAACCCCTCCTTCAAGCAGTGAACACTCTGGTCATCTCCACAGCTGAGTGTGAACGTGGGTTTAGTCTTAGTCAGATGAACATTTGAACCACAACTAGAAGCTCCCTAGAGGTAAAAAGCATGTCAGCCTTGCTTTTCATCAAGTGCTTTTCAGCCCTCCACTGAACAAGTTCAGACCAGAGGTATGTCAAAACTTGGCTTCAAAGCCATTGCTTAGCTAACAATCCGAAAGCAAGAGCCAGAAAAATTGAGACCAAAAAGCATGATTATGAAAATCTTTGGAAACTTCTATGAGATGGGGGAGAGTGGAGTAGGCAGCCATTGACAACATTGGTCCTATTTTGTATTATCTGTATAATCTTTTAATATATTTTCATATTTTGTAAACAATTTCAATTTGCACTTAATGCCCTGTTAAAAAAAGTAACATTGGGAATGTTAACATAAAATATTTGTATTTGAACTGCAATAAAATGATGACGGATCAATTTTTTCAAAAAAATGTCCTCACATTTTTCATGAAGAATTTACATAATGATTTAATTAATTACGATACAAATGTAACCCTTTAGATACCAGTTTTGATCGTATACCAGTAACTGCTTTTTTGAAAAAATACACTAATTCAATATTCTAAAAACTATTTTGACTTTATTATTAGTATAATCAGTTGATCCATCTGAATAATAAATGAGGGACTGTTAACCTACAAGATTTGTACCATAGACTTCCATTATAACCACATTTTTGTATCCCCTCCCCCCCTTTAAATTAAAGTGAACTAAAGATTTTGCATTAATTGTCCTCTGCATTTGACCCTGAATGTTAGTGGTGCCATGGCAGCCCGGGGACCGACTCTAATTCTGAGGTGCCTTGGTCAAGAGCAATGAAAGGAGTATCTGAGCATCCATAACATGCATGTTGTTTTAGGAGTATAATAATTATCTTTATGCTGATTGGTCTCCCACCCTCGGCGGGTTATCAGCACAAATTATGTCCCCATATGATAAAATCCACCATCCCCCCTGATTTGTTTTTACAACTTGAGTACTGATTATAATAAATACATTATTCTAATATTAGTATACTACATTCAGTGCTTGAATTGGGCCGGTACTCACCGGTACGCAGTACCGGCACTTCTGATTTTTACCCATGTGGTACCGGCACTTCAGTTCTTACTGAGTACCGGCAAGGTGCCTGTACTCAGTAAAATTCCGGTACTCAGCCGCCGGCGGCACGTCATGATGGCCCGGACTGGCCATCGGGAGGACCGGGAGGTTTCCCGATGGCCTGGCCTGTTAAGTGGCCTGCTGGCCTGAGGATTTTTTTTTATACGTATTGTGAACGCAACTCTGTGCAAATGTGGGTCTGACTCTGCCTCACAGAGGGTGACTGGCTGTCTACATGATGTGGCCTGCCGACATGGCCACTTTCATACAGATCATACTAATGCCCTCGATTGGTCTCTGTATGTCATTCAAGCTCGGGAGGGTGTGTGTATGCGAGGCGCGAGCGAGCGAGAAAGCGCGCGCACCGGTTATGTGTATTGTTGTTAGCATCTGGTGCTAGCTAGCTGCGTTAACGGATATAAGGAGCTGTTTCAACAACAAGGTGGAGGGAGAGTCCTCTGCTGTCAGACTGAGAGGCTGGTAACTACAGCTCAGGTGAGGTAAAGGACTCTGAGTGTTTAAGTTATCTCAGTGGGTCTCAAACGGCTCGGTCACCATTTATGTAAACACATATTTCCATTTGAGGGGGGAGTGATTAGTAAAATATGCATGAATAATAAAAATAAAATGTTAACTAGGTGAAAAAAGGTAAGATAAACTTGTTGAGAGCTAAAACAAGTCTTTGCTGCTGCCTCAAAGAGGAGCAAGGGGGAGAGGAGGGAGACAGGAGAGGCTGGTTCAGGAGCACAGACACACTCACAACTATAAATGAACCAAAAACAAATAAATAAACACGTTTCAATGTTTTGTCATATTGGATATGGTATGTTATTGGTTATGGCCATGTTCTTATGATTTTATGATTATTTAAATGTATACAGTTATGTTTCATATGGGTGTAGTCTCTTTATTTCCCCCTCAAAATGCACCAGATTGATGCATTTAAGTCCAACATTTAAAACAAATCTTATTGGGGGAGCATGCCCCCAGACCCCCCGATTTGAGGTCCACCCCCACTTAAAATATGTTCACATGGACAGGTTCCTAAATAGATTTGCAATTTTTTTTAAATAGTAACCCATCTCCATATGTTTATTTTTGGGTAGTAGATTTAAACTAGAGGGCTATCACTATGGGCAGCAACGCTGTAAATATTGACAAATAAATCCAGCAAAATGGCACAAAAAACTGGTGTTGGCCTGACTGGGTGTATAATTCCCGGCCTGACTTATTGTCCCGGTCCGGCCCTGAATTTGACGCATGACAACAAATATGCCCAGCGTACCTATGACGCGCCGCAGCGATAGACTAGAGCAGAAAAGACATCACATAACGTTAGCATTTTGAAAATTTTAGCGTGGCTTAATAATAGTGCGAAAAGACAGCGGTTGTCTCCGGACAAGGATCCCCTCTCTCCTTTCCTGCTGAAAGATGGTGAGTGTACTCAGGGACGAGGAGTCATTTAACCAGCCGCCAGTAGGAGTCAGGCTTTACTTTCTTTTATATCCATAAAGAAAAAAAGTTAATCTGTTTACAGTTGTTTCATATGGATGTTGAGAGGTATCCATACATGTCTTCATTTCGATCTCAAAGTGCACCAGATTGATGCATCTAACTTCAATATTTAAAAAAAAATCTTCCCGGGGGAGCATGCCCCCGGACCCCCCTAGAGGGTGTCAGGTCCATTCCCCACTTATAAAAATAGCATTTTACCACTGCACCCCCTCTAATCTCATTTTCTTTAAGTACAGTGAGCCTTTCTAAAATATACAGTAAAGAGACAAACCCACCAGCATTATAGGATATACTATGACTTTGAGCCAAATACTTGTTTTTGGGCTGTATAAATAAATTGACTTGAAACAGTTGCTGATTTAGAGTACTGACACCTTTTTTATTCCAATTCAAGCACTGCATACATTGTATGACTGTAGCAAGCTATACGTTGGTGGATACATTTTCATGCATTCTGATGACTACGCATAAACTATTCAGCTTTTATGTGATTTAATTATCTGTCTATATGGGCTCAGACAATGACAAAATAAGATGATCGTTTTCTATATTAGGTAAGTTGTACGCATAATGTTGTTAACAGTAGTCCAGGTATAGTCAATTTATGGCCTGGTTGCCGACTCAATGTAATTTACAATTGAAATAAAGGTACTTACAATGGGGATTTATTTTGTTCTTTTATGGTAAATTAGCTCCCAGAGTTCATAAAAAGCATGCTAATATCTTGTCTCACTTGTCAATCATTGAAAAAGGTTACATCATTGGAGGCCCAAGTCCAATTTACAAACAGGTAGGTTCAGGACCTTCAGACCTAAAGACCAAATGACAAATATACATAATCTGGACGACAAAGCATTAAGCTAAAATGCATAATTAATCTAATGTTAAAATGATGTATACACGCAAAATGAATTCATCTTCTTGAGTCCTAAAAATAGTAGAATAGTAAAGGGATGTGGCTAGGGGAACGTGGGACACAGACTATTTAAAAAATGTTGAACGATAAAAAGGTTTGAAATTCACAATTTACTGTAGGTTTTATTTTGTAGTTCAGCAGTTTTTTTACACTTATACTGAACAGTCAGCAGATGTCACTCTTACCCTAGTTTTGTACTATTACTTACTCGCCTCAGTCTCTTAGATTGCGGCATATGTGCATATTGACTATTGATTAATTTTGATTAACTGGAAAGTGCCCCCGTCGTGACGAGCTGAAATAGCTCATTTGGGAGAGCGTCCCTGGTTCGATCCCTGGTTCGATCCCTGGTTTCGGCAGGCAATAGGAGTTTTATGGGGAGACTGTGGCCGTGTCCCAATTCAGGGGCTGCACCCTTCGGAGGCTGCATTTGTAGACCGCATACGTCACTTCCGCCGGAAGAAGGCTATCCCAATTTTTTTTAAAGACGAGACTCCTCCGAATGCGGCCCACGAATGCAGCCATCTTTTCCCGGATTTGGAGGATACATCTGATGTATCCTCCGCGGTCTACCATATCCAAGGGTGCAGGGCTGGCCCTTGGCACTGGCGAACTAGGCGGTCGCCTAGGGCGCCAGATCTGGAGGGGCGCTGCGCTGGGAGAAATAAATAATTTTCTGCCCTTGATGTAATACATTTACATTAATAATTGAATAAAGTAAACACCCTTTGCACCCCGGGCCGGCAACATTTTGCATTTGCCCTGTACGATGGGCGCTGTAAGGGATGAAAGTGGGGGATGTTGATTTACCAGGCGCCCGCAGCTCACAGCCAAAGTGAGAGAGAGCCTCCGAGCGAGCAAGAGAGAAAGAGAGAGGGTGCGCATCGGTACCGCCTAAGGATTGTTTGCCTGAAATGCTTAGTTACATTTTGCAATAATACTTTTTCAACCCTGTGTTCATTGGCGGTTCTAGAACATTTTACATGGGGTGGCAAAGGGGGGG